CACCTAAATTTATGACTTAAATTTATGATATATATCTCTTTATTCCATTTTTTCTTTGAAAACAAATGGACCTTAGTTACTCAGTGTGATATAGCTGTGTTTTGTTTCATTTTTTTTTTAAATATTATTATTTTATTTTAAAAGTATACCTAAGCTATGCCTTTAAGCTTATTTAGTGAACGTAGAACCACTAAGACTGATTTTTGTTTAAGTTTGTTTGTATTTGTTAATATATCTTTATCTTTACTTCCCTAGCGATTTTTTTACATTTAAGGTAAATGACCATAAATGACCGTAAATGACACATAAATGACAATGTCATGTCACAAAAAATAAATTACCATTTTTACATCCCTACCTGAATGTCTGTAAGCATTTTTTTGTTGATTTAACATATTAACAGAATTTATTTTATATTTTGTCGGTTGCATAAAGGCAATCCATATGAATATTTGACATAATGCTTACCATGTTTTAAACTACGGCAATAATTATTAGTTCATAAATATTATTTTCTTACGCTTTGCTAGTAATATTGTTTACTAAACATCAATATACTTTTTCAGGATACTACGCCACGAGAAATGAAATTGACAAAGAAGCTAGTCACAGCTCGAAGAAAAATTAAACGTCTTAGAGCCAGTCTCCAGCATTACAAAAAGAAGTCAGCCACTCTTTCTGATGTCATCAAATCATTATGTGGTAAGGTAACTCCCGAAACTTTGGAAACTTTAGCACAAATAGGTCCTAACGAAGAATTTTTACAGAGGCAAATAACTAAGAAGCACAAATATGGAAATAATTTAAAAGCTTTTTCCCTTACGTTACATTTTTATTCTGTAAAAGCTTATAATTTTGTCAGGAACACTTTTAATTCAGCTCTTCCCCATCCTAAAACAATATCGAGATGGTATAAAAATGTAAATGGGGAAGCTGGTTTTACATTAGAGGTGTTTCAATTATTAAAAAAAAAGGTAGAACATGCCAATCGCACAATTATATGTAGTTTAGTAATAGATGAAATGGCAATTCGCCAACATGTAGAATTTGATGGAGTTCGATACTACGGATTTGTAGATTATGGTATTCAGCTAGAAACTGACTCTAATCCAGTAGCAAAAGAAGCACTGGTATTTATGCTAGTTGGTGTCAACGAATCTTGGAAGCTTCCTCTGGGATACTTCTTAATTGACTCATTAAATGGTTTACAGAAACATAATTTACTAATACAGTGCCTAAAATTACTAAATGAATCGGGTATCCACTTGGTGTCTATCACTTTTGATGGGGCTAGTAACAATATTACTTTGGCTAAACAACTGGGTTGTAATTTTGATTATAAAAATATTAATTCAACATTTGTTGACCCTAACTCTGGGAGAAGAATTGCAGTTTTTTTTGATCCATGTCATATGGTAAAGTTAATTAGGAATACATTGGGTGAAAAAAAAGTTATTATAGATGACAACGGTGGAACAATAAAATGGGATTTTTTAACAGAGTTGTGTAAACTTCAGGATGAAGAGGGTTTGCACTTGGCTAATAAAATGCGAAAATCACATATATTTTATAGCAACCAAAAAATGAAGGTTAAATTAGCCACCCAACTATTTAGCCAATCAGTAGCACATTCTTTGGAATATTGCAATGAAATTTTAAAACTTGAACAGTTTAAAGATTCTGAACCCACAGTAAAATTCATACGCTATATAAACAACTTATTTGATATATTAAACAGTAGAAATTTGCACCAACTTGATTTCAAAAAACCAATCAGTATGCAAAACTTTGAAAAAATAAATTCTTTTTTGTGTGAATTATTAGATTATTTAAAATCATTAAGATTAATGGATGGCAAACTATTGTGCGAAAGCGGCAGAAAAATGGGATTTGTAGGGTTCTTATTTAATATAGAAAGCCTTCAATTTCTTTATAAAAATCTAATTTATGAGAATAATTTACTGTTGTATTTCCCTACCTACAAAATAAGTCAAGATCACATTGAATTATTTTTTGGGCAGATTAGATCTCTGGGTGGTTACAACAACAATCCATCAGCAAAACAATTTAAATCGGCGTATAAAAAAATGATGGTCCATCTTGAATTGAGAGATTCATTTAAAGGGAATTGCATTCCGTTGGAAGCAATTCCAATTTTAACTCCTTCTGAGGTAATTAATAAAACATGTGGTAAAGAACGCATTTCAGAAGTAACCGAAGAAGTAATTGAAGTTGAGGACGATGAAATATTTCACAATGCTTTAAACATAAATATAAATATATCAGAATTTAAAAAAGAGGCCATAACATACATTGCTGGCTTTGTGGTTAAAAAAATAGGTAAAATTTTAAAATGCGAGGAATGTGTCTATTCACTTTCAGGTGACAGGTATAATTTAATAACGTCCTTTATTAATCAAAAAGACAAAGGACAGTACCTCTTTTATCCATCTGAAGATGTTATGTATATTTGTTTAACAACAGAAAAAATTCTTCAGATATTTTTTAACGGTTCAGAAACTGTTATCGATATTAAAAAAATAAATATTAGAGTTTTAAAAATAATAATTGGTAAAAAAAACTTATTTGAATCACTTAATAACCACTTTAGAGAACAAAATATTTTTACTAGCCACTTTAACAACCTAATAGAATTAATTTCTTCTATATATGCAACTGTGCGAATTCATCATTATAACAAAAGTCTGTTTGACAAAAGTAGAAGTATACGGTCTAGTTATAATAAGTTAGTATTATTTAAGGGACAATAATATTTTGTAATTCTGTAAAAATATATTTTTTTTTTCAAACGTCAAAAAAGTATTAGTTTTTACAACGTGACTGACAATATAAAAAAGTAATTTTACTGCCTAGGCATAAAATTAAAGCACTTTTATGCCCAAGCAGTGCGAAAATATATTATTAAACTGACATAAAGTGTCAAATTCAACGAGCGTAACCATAGTTTCTCGATATATAATTATATACAAGGTATTACAATATAATTATACACATCAAATCTTTTTATATTATTTGGAACGTTTGAAATTGTTTAAAAATTATCTGTAGCGTTTCTAAAATAGCATGTTCTATTCAGAGTAAAAATGACTTTTTGTGCCTCGCCTGTATGTAAACGTTCAGCCTCGCCACAAAAAGTGTCATTTTTATTCCTAATAAAACAATATACTATTTTTTTCACACGTCACAAAAGTATTAGTTTTTGCGACGTGATTGACAATGTAAAAAAGTAATTTTACTGCCTAGATATAAAAGTAAAACACTTTTACGCCCAAGCATACAAGTGCGAAAATATATTATTAAACTGACATAAAGTGTCAAATTCAAGGAGGGTAACCATAGTTTCTCGATATATAATTATATACAAGGTATTACTTTTAAATCTTTTTATATCATTTGGAACGTTTGAAATTGTTTAAAAAATTATTTGTGGCGTTTGGAAAAAAATAGCATGTTCTATTCGGAGTAAAAATTACTTTTTGTGCCTCGCCTGTATGTAAACGTACAGCCTCGCCACGAAAAGTGTCATTTTTATTCCTAATAAAACAATATACTATTTTTGTGATTAATATTGTGTTATTTTATATTTTATAGCCCATTGTAGAATTATTTTTATTTAAATAGTTTTAAATAAAGAATTTTTAATATCATAAGGTGGTTTTTCTGCAGTCCTATTCTACAATTAAATTTGCTTATTAGCGTCCTACACCAGAAGATTTGGCCTGCAGACTTGGTCTGCGGATAAGAACTTTGTGTTTGTGTGCCGGACCAAGTCTGTAGCAGGCCAAGCCATTGGCGGACCAAGCCTGTCACAGGCCAAATCAGAGCAGACTTGATCTGTCAGATTAGATTGGTCTAAAAAACGAGTAGCCACCCATACACCAGAAGATTTGGCCGGTGGACTTGGATCACCCTTATCACTTACCCCCGGTATTTTCAGGTACAGATAGCGTGTTATATATTTTATTTGACGGATAGCGTGTAAAAACGTGTATCTTCTACCAATTGTTTTATCTTTAAGATTGTTATTTGTTAGATAAAAGTTATTTATTTATACCTGAAAATACCGCGCCTTAGGGGTATAAAAAATAGATAATAACCTACCCTCAGACCTACTGAATATATATATATATATATATATATAAAATTTCATCAAACTCGGTCAGGCCCAGTCAGGCCGTTTCGGAGGAGTAAGGTAACAAAAAATTAAAAAAAACATCCCCTATTAAAAAAGAGCGGTTGATGGTAGAAAAAGAAAATTTAGGGTTGTATGTATTTTTGCCAAATTGTATTAATGTATTAATTGCCAAATGTATTAATTGCCAAATCATAAAAAAATAGAAATAAAAAAAATTCCAAAAAATTAAAAAAAAATATTTTTTTTTGGGCCACCAAATCGATAACCTAGTCTCAGACCCACTGATTATACATATAAAATTTCATCAAAACCGGTCAAGCCGTTTCGGAGGAGTAAGGTAATAAAAAAAATTAAAAAAAACAACCCCTATTACAAAATAGGTGTTGGTGGTAGAAGGGTGAAAATTTAGGGTTGTATGTATTTTATAATGCCAAATCATAAAAAAATTAAAATAATTTTTTTTTCAAAAAAGTAAAAAAATTTTTTTTTTTCTTGGGTCACCCTTATCACTTAGGGGTATAAAAAATCGATAACAACCTAGTCTCATATCCACTGATTATACATATAAAATTTCATCAAAATCGGTCAAGCCGTTTTGAAGGATTAGGTAATAAAAACTGTGACACGAGAATTTTATATATTAGATGTATATCATTATTCACTTAAAAATTTCTAAATCCGCTCCTGGCGTGACCCCCACCAAAGGAACCCAGATCGGAAAAACAGGCAGCCTTCGCGCATTATAAAATAGAGCATTTGTTACCTCTTTCTCTTCTAACCTCTTTGGCGTGAACATAGTAAAGCGATCTGCTCGAGCGGTTAGATCGAGTGGCGAGATCGATTCAAATTATTTTGTTTTCGTCGCTTTGTCGCGCTGTAGAAAACAATGGATTTCCAAAAATTAATAGATTTAGTGTTTGTAAGAGAGTTTTGATTGGATAAAAAGATAGTAATCACCATAACCGGTATATTTTAGATAAGTTATCTCTCCGGGTGTTGAAAATTTCATGTACACCACATCTTTTCGTTTGTTGGTTTCGAATAAACCAAATGTTTGCGACATTACTGTCCAGAATTTTAGCTGCTGTTAACATTTGAAATAATAAATAAGTAAATGAAACTAATAAAATTGCAAGTACCTCGCTATTCCTCGCCACTCTACTATGTTTTAGCACCTCGAGGCTCGATCGACGCGATATCGCGCTGCTTGCTCGCCGCTCTCCTCGTCGCACCACTATGTTTTTAGCCTTAGACGATATTACCCTCATAGTATCATTCAGCTAGGTGTGCACTGTATATGTATAATATATAGGAGGTAGGAGGTAAATTGTGTCCAATAAACTGATTTTGATTAGAAAAACATGCCGGAGTTCGATATCCACGGATATTAGGGCATCCTGTATATGTATATCACTAAATAAAGTTCTTTAACTTCGAGTCTAACATAATGTCTCTACAAAACGGAAGGCTCTGGTTGCATTTTATGTGCACGCTGGAAAAATGAAGACTACCGTTTGATGTCCCTCTATCAATCAAAACGTTTATGGCCTGAATCATACTATTTGAAGGACTACTAGTTGAGAAGTCTCCGATAAGTGCCACATTCGCATCGTTATCCATTTCATTTTTGACACCCCAGCCTCTACCTTCGTAAACCTTTCCGTCACCTCCAATCAAAAAGTTGTATTTGACGTCTGGATAGTGTAACATGTCCATATCGTTCTCCTGGATTTGGCGAAGTTTCCTAGAACAGCTGGAAAAATCACTGCAACTCTCGGTTTTTGTGTGTTCTATGTTAAGGAAAGGAAACTTTTTTACTTCGGTTATATTCGTGGGTGGTCGGGCATTCCAGGAAGAACGATTAACATATTGGTCAATTGGTATCGTACTGTTGACTTTATAACTGCCTTGTAATATCAGTAAAGCAACTAATCCGCCTATGCATATTATTAGAACGTATAATGGACCATATGGTAGTAGTGATTGCACTGGAAAATAAAATCAGTTTGGATATGTGCTTTAAATTTCCCATGTTTCTTTGGACAATAATCGCTCAATAATGGTTGATACATATTTCTGTGTTTTTCTAGCGCGTTCTCACGAGTCGATTTTGGTTGCAGTTGTAAGCAAAATCTGTGTGTTTTTAGAGGTGGCCCATTTTTTATGATTCGAAATAGTTTTTTATAGTGATAACGTTGAAATTAAGCGTAGAAGTCACGTCAAAATTTTGGCGTTTGATGGCTACATTAAATTATACCAGCAGAAAAAAAAGGTGTAAATAAAAATAAATAGCTAAACAACCAGTACGGATAGAGCTAGTGGAGCCAAGATCGCTGTCATTTTAGACGTAAATTTATATGGGAAATGTCATCGATCGTCATTTTCCAGCCAACTGGACGCCGTTTTTTTCGATTATACGGTTTATAATAATATATTTCATGTTAGGTACAGGGTGGGTCAAATTGGACGCTTTTAAAGGGAAACACCCTTTTCTATAGGAGATAGACGAAAACTAATATCGGCGTCTGGAGCTCAATTTTTATCAAAAACATGATAGTGAAAACCGCACATCGATATCTGTGACCGTTTCGGAGTTACGGGGTGTTTTTCAGAAATGTGCATTTTTAACAAATCACTATAACTTTTTTGCTATGGAAAATTTTGTATTTTTGTGAAAACATTTCCAAATCACCTTTTTACGTAGAATTTAATGGTTTAAGTATATTTTTTTTAAATAATAATTTAAGAGTTATCAACAGAAAAATTGATTTTTTATTTGGGACACCCTATATGTTTTTAATTAAGTGAAAAGAACTTAAAATTACCTTTCCAAAAATATAGCACACTTGATATTTTGTTATAGTTTCCTTCGAAATACAGAATTTTTATAGGTTGGCCACTTTTAACTAGTAGGCTTTGTACCCCTTATTGATGATCTGCCCCTAATGGAACTCGAAAACATATTTTTCCAGCAAGGCGAGGCACCGCCACAAAGTAAATAAAATAAATAAATAAACTTTATTAACTTTTAGATTAGTACATAAAATAACAGCCGTTTCTTTAATAAAGACACCTAAGACAATGTCTTGTGTTGTGCCTTGTTTTGAGAGTTACTTTCTTATTAAAAGTTAACTACACGCAGAAAGAAAGAGAAAAAAAAAACATTATAAATATGTAATAAAAGTATACAAGCTATGATTCTAAAGGTTGATAATAATGGTTTGTCCTAGACCAACATGGAGTGCATTATCACATAATTGACAACTATATAAGATTTAATGTTCTTTTTGAAAATACGGCTAGAATATCTCCTGTATAACGAAGGTAAACTGCTATATAATTTTATTTTATTCCATTATAAGATATACTTTTTTGGCAGACTGATTTACTAACACGATCTATAGGAGTCATCTGTGCAGCTTGACTTCTGGTATTGTGTGAGTGGTGCGCATGATACAGATTGTTCTTCGAATGTATTAATATTAATATAGATTTAATATATAGACCTCTTACATTCAGGATACAATTTGTTGTATAGATATCTCTTACACTTACTCTACTTTTAATCTTGAATATGACGCGTATGATAAAATTCTGACAAACTTGTAACTTTTTTAGTGTGGTTTCATACGCCGAACCCCAAACAGATATGCCGTAACTAAGAATTGATTCGGCTAAGCTGCTATAAACGATAAGAAGTAGTTTTTGAGCTAGTACATTGCGCAATTGATAAAATCTGTATATAAGCTTTCTGATTCTTTTAGCCAGATAATCTATATGGAAAGTCCATTTTAAATAGTGATCGATGAATACACCCTGGTATTTCACAACATTAATTACTCCGTCATTAAAACCTTTAATATACATGGGACCCAATTGTCTACTTTGCCCTGCAACAGTCGGTGAGAAAGCCATATATTTAGTTTTTGAGACATTTAAACTCAGTCTATTAGCATCCAGCCATTCTTTCACGTCTTGCAGTGAGGCTTGAGCTTTGTTCCACGTCCTTTCCCATGCAAAATCTTCACAAAGCAAAATCGTATCATCCGCATAAGAAATAATTTTACATTCATTATAGTTTAATAAATCATTGATAAATATAAGAAATAGGGTAGGTCCCAGTATAGTTCCCTGTGGAATCCCAGTTTTTATAATTTTGGTGTTGCTGAGTATCCCGTTTATGTGTACCTGTTGATATCTTTCTGTCAAATAACTTTTAAATAGTGTACAAATTTTACCTCTAATACCTATATTGTTAAGTTTTTCCAGTAATCTGCTGTGATTCACAGTATCAAATGCTTTTTGTAAATCAAGAAAAATACCAATCAAGAAAAATACCAAGTTATCAGCAAATTTTTGTAGCCAATTTCGAGAATAATTAAATAGCTAACCAAGATTCCAGCCGTTGGCTGTCGAGGCCGCCGGACTTAGTGCCTGTTATCCTTAGTGGATTTTTATCTTTGAGAAAGAATAAAGGTTCTTTTTTTCTCTCATTTTTAAATTGCCCGTATAATCTAGACAAGAATTAGAAGTACTTAGCCGTTATGCGAGGGTATCTTTTACCCCCACTGGGTTAATTAATTCCGCGAGAAATGTTCAAAAACGGCCCATCTGTCCATAACAGAAGACGGTCGACATGTCGAACACCTGTAGCAAAATCTCATATCTTTGTTTTGCTATTAATTTTTATTGTTATTAGATATAGTCTAAATGTTATTAAATATAGTTGAAATTGTTATAGAAGTCTGCATCTCTCATTGCAAATATTATTTTCGTTTTAATTGCTGCTCACAGCTACAATTTTTCGCATTACAGCCGGCGCAGGCTCCGTTCAAAGCCTTATTCAAAGTAGGCTAAATTTTTTTAAAAGCTCTATATGTCGAAGACGAAAATAACAAGTATTCTACATTTTTGGAAAGGTAAAATTAACTTCTTTTCAATGAATTAAAAATATACAAGGTGTCTCATATAAAAAAATCAAATTTTCTGTTGATAATTTTTAAATTATTAATTTTAAAAAAATTATACTTAAACCATTAAATTCCACGTAAAAAGGTGCTTTGGAAATGTTGTCAGAAAAATACAAAATTTTGCATAGCAAAAAAGTTACAGCGATTTTTTAAAAATGCACATTTTTTAAAAACAACCCTTAACTCTGAAACGCGGTTTTCATCATCATGTTTTTGATAAAAATTGAGCTTCAGACACCGATATTAGTTTTCGTCTAGCTCCTATAGAAAAGGATGTTTCCCTTTAAAATAATCCAATTTGATCCACTCTGTACATGGTACACGTTAGGCTACGTTTCACTACCAAACTTCTTTGTCAAAGAATTTGACAGTGTAATATGTGTGATTTTATAAAATACTGTATACTGTACTGTGAATTTTTTCATCAAATATCTTTTATAATAGATCTTTGACAAAGCAATTTGATTGTAATACCGGCCTTAGAGAGGAGTTCGCTTAGAATTATATAGGGTGTTTCAAAAAATGTGCCATCTATCGTAAAAAATAAGATTCCTCACATAAAAATAAGACGTATTTTTCATATCAACATAGGTCGGATTCTGCTTTGTTTCATAGCTACAGGGTGTTAAAGTCTTAATAATTTTTCGATTTATTATAATTTTCTTCCAAGTTCTTCCAACCTAGTGTGAGTACATATCATAAAACCTCTGACGAGGGGTAGGGGACTCAAAAAACTCACAACCTTTTAGGATGTTTATTTCAAAATTTAATTTTATTTAAAATTGGGGGGACATGTTTCGGGATTCATTTAATTCCCATCCTCAGGCCCAGAAAGACAAAAGACACACCAGGAAGCCATATCAGTGGGAAAAAATAAAACAATTGGATTGTTACAATTCATTAAACAATTGTACTCATTGTAATTGCAAACCAATCCAATTTCTCTAAAGATAAACCCTTCGTAGTTGTTCTAGTCAATAAAGGCTTATACCATAATTCTTAAACATAGTCTTATATTATTTTATTTAATATTTTTCATTTTTCGACAAGGATCAACGTCTAAGTCTGGTGCTGTGATAATGTATCATTATCATAGCACACAACAACGAAGGGTTTTTCTTTTGAGAAATTGGATTGGTTTGCAATTACAATGAGTACAATTATTAATTGTTTAATGAATTTTAACAATCCAATTGTTTTATTTTTCCCGAGTGGTATGGCTTCATGTTGTGACGTTTATTTTTCTGGGCCCTATGTCGCCGCAATTTTAAATCAAATTAAATTTTGAAATAAACATCCTATAAGATTGTGAGTTTTTTGAGTCCCCTACCCCTCGTCAGAGGTTTTACCGAGGGTTTTACATTCTTTTATTGATTCTAATGAAGTTTTGAGGGTGAAATTTACTATAAGTGCGACATATTTAGACTATTAATGCTAAAAAGTAGAGATAAATTCATCAGGGAGATGCATGTGGGTTATCACTGGAATATTTATCTGAAAAAAACATGTGCGCCACTGACTTTTTTCTTTTGATATCAAAATTGTGTAGGCCGTTTGATGCAAATTAAAAGTTTTCTCTAGATATTTTGTCGAATTCGGCCTCCTCGATGAGATAAATGCAATTTTATTAATCACAATTAATAAAATTAAAATAATAAATTATATATTTTACCTTTAACTTGTTATTAAATATTATTACTATGGGAAACCCCGTAAAACACACGAAAATGGGACACCCTATACACGAAACTGACTAGCAATTATCATCTATAATAGAGCAATATTGTAAAAAATACACAATTTTGATTTTTTGTCTGTACAGGGTGGGAGAGATTCTTTGGTTAATTTTTCGAAATATACTTCATATGAACTATATTATATGAATGTCAACTTATAAAAAACTTATAAAACGACTAAAATCTTGACTTCTGAGATAAATGGTTTTAAGGTTTTCAGGTTTTTTAAATAAAAAAAATTACAGCTTACTATGTCATCAAGCGTTATGTATTAATTTATTC